GTGACCCTCCCGCCTTCCCCCAGCTGTGTTCCTCTCAGAGCCCCGGTCCCCTCCCGAATCGCAGCTTCTGCTCCATGGACGGTTGACTCACTGGACACTCAGGGCAGCTGTCGGTCCGAATGCGCAGCCGAAAGGGAAAATAGTTCTCCTTCTTGGACTCCGGGGCCGGCCTTTCCACAGTGGTTAACTCTCCAAACACTTCCTCAGGCCCTGGGTCCGCATCTGCTGCAGGGGCACGAGCGCGGGGATGCTGTTCCCTTCCGGTCCGTCCTTCCGACAGCCACCACTTAGCTTCTTTTCCCTCCTTCGGTTCTCTGGGGCGTGACACACACCCGCCCCCGTGGGACGCAGGACACAGTCTGTAGTGACCTCAGGATGCAAAGAGGCCGAGAGTCCTGCTCCACACAGCGACGGCGGGGCCGCAGCCGCCCAGGCAGCACGGTGCTGTGTCTCCGTGTCCCGCGCAAGGGCGCCTGGAACCTGCCGGGCGGAGCTGCGAAGCAACCCGGATGCTCAAACCGCCTCATGGGTCCCCTCCCTGTGCAAACCGATTCCCCAGCTGCAGACACTGCGGGCGTGTGGGGCACTCGGCAGAGGTCACGTGCTAGAACTCCAGAGCAGGAGACAAGGGGCTGCAGGCCTCAGCTCAGTGTTTCCAGGTGTGGCCCTAGTGAAGGTCTTTGAAGTCTGGGGAACACAGGGTTAAGTAAAGTGAACACCTTTCTTCACTGCAGGATGGCTGGGAACACTGATGCAGGAAGGGGCGGCCCGGGCTGGCTGCCCAGAGCTGTTTGAGCAGGTACCCACCTTCGCAGAGAGCCCTGCCTGGGTTAACGTCCCCAGACCGCCCCCCTCCCCAGACAACTGCGGACCCAGTCTCACCCCTCCGCTCTCTTCACATAACCGCTTTCTCAAGACGTAATTCACATACCATTCAACTCACCTTCACAAAGTGTGCCATGCTGTGGTTTCCAGTACATTCACAGGGACGCGAAGCCCCCTTTTAGAACATTTTAGAATTTTCTTAGAAGTTTTCATTGCCCGTACCTCTTAGCCATCATTCTTAATGCCCCCAGCCACCCCCCACCCACCTCCCAGCCCCAGGCAACCATGACTCTGCCTCCTGCTTTTGTGGGATTCCCTACCCTGCACATTCCCGTAAGCAGAATTGCGTGATGGGCGTCCCTGTGTGCCTGGCTTCTGGCGCTCGGCACGGTGCTTTCAGGTTCCTTCCGTGTGGCAGCCTGCGTCAGCGCTTCGCAGCTAAATGCCTCTGCCCTTTCTACTGTGTGCATAAACCACACCTGTCCACCCGTTGGTCTGTAAGCGGACATTAAAGGTGTTCCCGCTTTCAGGCTGTCGTGCACAGCACTCCTGTGGGCAAGGCCGTGCACGGCTGTCACGAAGAGTCAGACCCCTGTTTACTTTTAATTTTTGTTGTTGAGATGTGGTTGATTTACGACAGTGTGTTAATTTCTGGCGTACACATAGAGATCCATTTATGCACACACACACATATATATTCCTTTTCATATCCTTTCCCTTCTAGACCATTGCAAGATACTGAATATAGTTCTCTGTGCTCTGCAGTCCACCTACTTTGTATATAATAGTATCTTCAAATCCCAACATCCAGTTTACCCCTCCCCACCCCCCTCCTCCCAGTAACCGTAAGTTTGTTTCCTGTCTGTGAGTCTGTGTCTGTTTTATAAGTAAGTTCATCTGTGTCCTTTGTTTTTAGGTTCCACCTTTATATGGACTATAATTTACATGGACATGTGGGACCTCACGCGGCATTTTTCTTTCTCTTTCTGGCTCACTTCACTTAGTATGACAATCTGATGTTTGCTCGCTGTCAGCTTTTAAGCCCACCCCAAATCCCTGCTCCTGAGTAGTAAGCACCCGGTTTTTGAACCCATTCTGTGTTCAAAACTGCATCCAGCCCCTCACCATCCATGTAGCTGTCTTCTCTGTCATAACTGACATTTCATCGCATGTGCCATTTTCTCCTCTCTCTGTTACTTGCTGGAAGAAAAGGCACTTGTGAGAAAGGCTCTCCAAAAACAGAGACGACCCCACCAACCGGCCGGGTTCAAGGCTGTGAAAGGCCATCGCCCCTGGGAGTCCAGGGTGGGCACGTTCCCCACAGCTCCCCGGCGACCATCGCTCGGGGCGCAGGCGGTGGGCACGAGGCCTCCAGCCCGTGCACCGGGCTGCGGGGAGGAGGGTGTGGGTGACGAAAGTCACACCAGGTGCCCTCTGGTTTCCTTCCCACTTTGGACTGAAGAGTCTGAAAAGACTACACGGAGTCTGAGTTTTTACCAAAAATAATCTTTTCATTGTGAAGACCTCCCTCTGTGTGAAGAGACACACCCAGGAGGGCCATCCCAGGGGACAGTAAAGCCCCTGGGTGAGCGATGGGGGAAGAAGGTGGCGGCAAACGGCCCGCAAGTCCTCCTGTAGGAGCCTGGAGGGGTCGCACCCCCGCCGTGGGCACCGCCATCAACAGTTGGGGGCAGAGCCGAGTCTATGGGCCCTGGGGCCCGCTGGACCCTGTCAGGACCAAGCCATCAATTCACCAAATGCTGATGGCATCCCGGGAGCTAGCTACCATGTGTGCCTCCATTTTAAAGGTGGGGAAACTGAGGCAGAAAAGTCCGACCCAGCTAGAGACGGAAGCTGATAGTCCCCCTTAGAGGTGACTGCAGCCGGGCAGGGAGGGGCCCTCCTGACAAGGGGACTTCAGCCCCCAGCCAATCACGCGTGCTCCCCCGGAGGGCATGGCCCAGACCCTGGATCCAAGAGGGAGAAGGAGAGCTTGCTCCCGGGGCTTGCCTTTCCTTTGGAGGAAACTTGTGGTTTTCTCTTTGTTTTTTAACTTACGGTTTTTATTTTATTTTATTTTATTTCATTTTATTTTATTTT